AAATCCTTTTAAAAATACTACTACTTTACACAACTCTCTTTAGACTAGATCCAAATTAGTACCAATGATGTCTCAAATACAGAAAACACAAACTTTTCAAAAAATACAAGTATTTTACCTAATATTCTTTTAGATATAGAGGAGATTATTGGAGCACTATCTAGATACAAAGTTATAGTCTTATTCTCAATTTAGAAATAGTAAGATATTGCCCCAAATATGAAAATTCTTAGACAGTTTTATAAAATTCCAACAATCCCAGACTCTCTATTAAACTCCTACTACTATCTGCTTCCAAATAAAACATATTTGACAATATCTATACCCAAACACCATCTTTGTCTTCTAGCATAGTTCAAAGCTTTGCACTTGCTCTAGAAATAGATTTAATAGAAAACAACACCCAGCCTGGAGCAACAACTACTACAACAAATAGTATTCAATCTATAATGGATCTGACAACTACTTCTATTAAAGCATATACACTTCCAGAGAACAACTCCACATTAATAAATACAAATAAACACTTCAAAGAATAATGTGCCATACCTATCCAATAGCTATTTTACACACCAAACAAATACAAATTCTAATCTCTTACATGCTCACCTTTACTCACTTACAATTTATATATATATATATAATATTCAAGGCTTTAATACTACTACCAAAAAAGAAGTTTAAGAACACTAGCAAAACTTAAATATAATTAGTATTACAGAAACAAAACTCTCCAACAAGACAACTCATCACAAACAACTTAAAACCTAGCACTATACCTACCTGTGGTCATGTATTAATAGCTCAAAAGCAGAAACTGCACTTATGATCCAAAACAATCTAACTTCACATATCTACAACGTCAGCCTATTTGCAGGATATACAATTGCAGTTAATCTCTTTTTTAAACATGACTTCAAATTTTGAATTATTTCTCTTTACCTGTTTAGCAATAATGCATAACTCTGACTACAAGTACAAAACACTAGGGATCCTCAAAGTCAAATCAAATCAAATATTTTGTCAATTTGAATTTGATTTGATTTGAAATTTCTGTATTTGAATTTGA